ATAGTGTGGATGCACCAGGTATCAGACATTTCAATGAGATAATTAGTAATTTTCGGCGAACAAGTGAAATATCTGAGAGAGCAAGACAAAAGGGACTACAGTATGCATTCGAGGGATATATTCACAACATTATATGCAACCGATTAAAGAGTAATTTCTTAAAAATTGTAGTTAAAGCCTAACGTTATAGTCCCAGTGCAAGCAGCATCACCTCATACGCTGACCGTTCAAATGGGAAACACAAATTGAGTAACAGCTGTGTTCATACACAGCAGGGTATGTGAAAATAATCTTAATAATTATAAATCAAACAGCTTATCAATAAATCTTGTGGAATAACACTAATACCGGGAGAGCCGCGATCGTATTGGGTTAAGTTACTTAGTAAGGGGTATGTTAACGTTAGTAGGACGTCGATTAACAAAATGCTGAAATATACTTTAAAGTATGTCAGTGAGCCTTTATCTTGTCTCTTTAATCGTCTTATTTTACGTTATCATTATGACCAAAGAACCGTCAATATTTCCAAGCAATAGGTGTTTTTGTTAAGCATGTCGACATTTACCAGTAGATGCTACAGTAGATCACGCCAATAATTTCTCCCCTTGGCTTTTAGATTTTCTGGAAGGAAAACAATTCCTCTCCCCCGTCCAAACTTTTAGTATACCGGTATCAGATTTGCACAATCCATACGCACAATGCGTCAGCATGTTTTCCTCTTTCGAAAGCTTGCCAGACCTCCCGCGCATAGTTACGGTTGCTACGACATGATTGGCCAGTGGCGGTTTTCGGGCGTGGCTTAGCGAAGGGTCAATTAAACATTCTCTGATATTATGCTATCTGTTGAACTCTGCTCCCAGCTGGCTAATGTTGCATAGTATGACCAGGTGTGTACTATTGAGAGTAATTAACTGCTACTTAAAATGCACCTGTGAGTTTGTTTGTTACACACACCCTGACGAAGGCATAAGCCGCAATGCATAGCTATCTCTGTCACCAGTTTTTATGAATTAAAGCCATGAACTAATAAAGGCTTTTTAACTTTTGTACTACAATTCGGGTGCCTTGGATTATTACTTTGATTTCACTTTTACATGGTGTTTGAACATAAATGTGTGTTGGCAGTGTGTGAGCAAAACCACCCTAGAATGATAAAAATCCACCCAGTGTTTTTTTGCAATCTCAATAAATCATCTGCACTGTCTCAGAACGAGCTGTTCTAAGATCCAGCTCTTTGTGACGTAGAATTGAGCAACGGGTTTGATTGACAGTGCGGTTGTGGCCTAGACCCCGCCCTCGGTGATCTGTACACACCATCCTCCATTGTTTCAACAACAGCCGGTAATGTCTCTTGGAAACATAAGGGTTATGTCGTGGACTCGTGGGTTAATCCTGTTGTTGTGGCTTAAAAGTTAATCCTCAAGTGTGGATTGTCGTCTACTGTTTGCGATCCAACGTCACCTCTAGTAAGTGTATTTTATGATTTTTGAGCAAACAGTCATTTCAGCCTGTCAGCCAATTCAACAACAAATGGGTCTAAAGTTGTTGTCGTCGTAGGATGTCTGTGTATATAATTTAAACAATGTTTGTATAGTGTGTAACCACACGTTTATAAATATATATTTAAAGATATTGTATTAAAAACTGCATATATGTTGTTGTTCTTTAAGTTAGCCATCTTCTCACATTTGCCACAGAAGCACCTGTATGAGAAGTAAACATGACGCCACAGGTCCCTCGCATAAATGTAATTTCACTTACGTAGCAAACTTTATCACAGAATGTGTATGTAGTTTCAAAAAAATGCATTAGTGTTTGTGTGTATCTGTGTGTGTGTTGCACATCCATACTTGCAAAAAGACGCGATTACAACTCTATAAGTACATAAATGTATCAAAAAACCATACCGAGACGTACTGGTCCATTCTCATTTGTGTTTATTCTGCCGGAGTCTCTTCGTACTATTTATATATTCCGATTCAAACGTACCTGAATGACAGACAAAATAGGTATCAAGTTACGCCCTCATCCAAAGGCAGGGCGGGGATATGCAGCTCATTTGCATTTAAGGTGGTATACACCCAAAACAGCTCATTTTTTAATCAGGCCCCAAAATGACATTTTCAAATGGTTATAATAAATTAACTATGGGGTATTTTGAACTGAAACTTCACAAATACATTCTGGGGACACCCGAGACCAATATTACATCTTGTAAAAAGGGGCATAATAGGTGCCCTTTAATGAATGAACATGGTATATATAGACAGACTGAGGATGAGACACAGGTGCATGCAATCAATGAATGAGGTACAGGTGAATGTGATCAGTGATGATGAGTTCAGGCAGTGAGTTCTGGGAAATGTAGTTGTGAGTGAAACATGAACATCTGGTGTGGAGTGCCCTCTTGCAATAACGTCGACAGGTATTCTCCCAGAGCCCGGTTGCTGACAACTGCTGGACCCATTTTGTGGTTAGTTGTTTTGTGACGTTGTGCGGATAAATAGTGCTGAGGCTGGATCCAGACGCAGTATAGCTTAAATAACAAACTCAGGAACAGGGTACATAGACTTGAAACAGGACTCGAGAATTCAAAACACCAACGTTCACATACATTAATTCAACAACTAACCAAGACAGGGCAGAAACACAGGGTCAAGTCAAGTCACATTTATTTGTATAGCGCTTTTCACAATACAGATTGTATCAAAGCAGCTTCACAGTGATAACATGAAAGTAGTACAACACAGATCAACAACATTGCTAAACACTAAATAACCCCAACTGAGCAAGCTCAAAGCAAGCCAAAAGCCAGGCGACAGTGGCAAGGAACCAAAACTCCATCAGATTGGATGGAGAAAAAACCTTGGGAGAACCCAGGCTCAGTCGGGGGCCAGTTCTCCTCTGGCTTACATTCATATTGTTTATATATAAATATTAAATATAAATATTGTTTATGTATAAAACGGCGCCATAACATAGCGCAGGCGTTGAGTCGTCTCTTCACAGGCGTTGGTCCTCTCATCACAGGCGGTGGGGCATCCAAAATCCCTGTGAGAGGCTGGACACAGAACTGGACCTGATGAACGCCATTTTTCTCGGGACAAGCGTCCCGAGATAACAGCAGAAAGGCAGATGGGAAATAATTAGCATAGCTGATGTTCATAATGATTTCCATTATACGGGAGTCTGTGTTAGAAAACCCCTATCTCACAAACTCTCCGCAACCCAACCATACGCGCCGACCCGTTTGTCTAAAAGGCTGTCGAGCCCCACTGGTGCGTTAAGCAGTTTCAGTGGCAAACGGTTCCGTATGGCATAACAGGGCTTAAATAATCAAGGACAAACGAGCTAGACAAGATAACAAGGGGGCGTGAGAAATAAGAAACACCTGGGATAATTAATAGACGGGGAACCAGATAATGAAAACACACAAAACCCACAATATGACATATATATATATTATAAGACACATGATTTCAGCTATAACTCAATTTTTTTTTAACAGTCAGACATACATACAAACCAACATAGTGCAGTAGTGAGCAATCTTGTAAATCCATAATTCCAGAAGTGACAAGAGTGATTTAAGTGTTTGATCTAAGTGTGATCTAATGTGAGCGGGTGTGAGTGTGGGTATGTGTAAGTGTATGTGTGTGTATGCGTAAACAAAGTAACCATTTATTATTTATTACCATTGTCATTAAGATCACCATCTATAGCTACAAATCAATTCTGATGAAATGTTCAGTGACTACATTTTACGTTTGCACTGTAGTGTTGGTGCACAGTATTTTCACGAAAATTTTTTTGTTTTGCAGTGTTTTGTTTGTTTTCCCTGGAAACAATTCAGGGATGGCTAAGGGCAACGAAAACATTTTGAAGACACATACATACGTACACTTAACAACTGGATAAGTGTTGGTTGGTTGTAATCTGGAGTGTGACAATGGAGGGAATGTTGTCAGCCAGAGTTTGTGGGCACTATGAATGGGTTAGATTTACAGTTGGGAAAATCCCCTACAGTGGATGGGGACACCAAAAGGAAAGGCCTGTGTATTTCACAGGGGCAATGAGAGGGCATTCCTTCCCTCAGTGCTCCGAACACAAGAGATCTCTTGTTCCTCTGTACGCATACAGTATATGCTCTAGCATTTTCTCTTTTTTCACTCTGCACTCGCACGATCCCAGTGCACTCACACTGATCTGACAGTGCACACATATAGCGAACAGGGAATAAAATAGAAGCTCAGGTGTGGATCAGATTCTCAAAAATGAGTTCTATTCCTTAGACATGTTGGACACATGGGGTGTTCTCACTGACAAACAGGAATTACAAACTATTTGGTTCATTCTGACCAAAAACAATATGCTCCAGCTCCAGTGTTCCGCATCCTCTTTGTCCCAAATGTAGAACATTTATAACAAATCAAAAGATCTAAACAGAACTAAATTTAAAACTTAAACATAGGTTTGTTTCCATTGTTTTCGTTCTTTGGACTGTTTGCAGTCCTTGATGACATTTCTATTTACTCATTTAAAGATTATTTATATAATTAATGAATATAATTCTTGTTGAAAAATATTGTCATTAGAGATTTTAATGATGGTGCACACTTTCAATTGGAAAATAATGCTTTGGAATTGAGAAGGTGCTTTGGTTGAAAATACAGCGTCTTAATGACTTAATAGGATAGTTCACAGAAAAATGAAAATTCTGTCTTCAATTGCACCCTCATGTAGTTCAAAACTAGCGTGACTTGTGGAACACACACACAACATTATAACACTGTCAATGGGGACCAATGTTGTTTAGACCTTGTTGTGTTTCATGGAAGAAAAAAAGTCGTAAATGATGATGATAAACGTTATTTTTTTTTGGTGAACTGTCACTGTAAAGCCCCTCTTGGATAAGAATCATCATGACGGTGTTGTATTATGACAAATGTGCTCATCTCAAGCTCTTGAACTCAACTCACTTGATATGTTGTCTGTGCCAGGTGATTCCATTTCCAATGTCATGTGACATTCGAGAAGACTGTGCATGTCGAGACCCTGATGCCCAGGAGAACAACAAAGGAGTCCGCCACCGGTCCATTGGCTGAGCTTCGTACCCCCTGTGGCACCCAGGGGGGCCTGCTGGGAAACCATTCTTCTCCACATGCTGCTTATAAGAGGGCCTTTCCACTCACACCGCACTCCGACATGCCCTTGCTTCCTCATCAAACAACAACTTTAGAGGGTATGACACTCAAAAACAAACAACCAACCAAACACATCAACGGGTTTTGCAAAGGATATGAAGTGGAAGTTTTATGAATGACTTATGGCAATAGCAACCATAGATGTTGTCAAACTAAGGCTCAAACAAGCCTGGACTGACAGTTTTGTTATTTTATGTTTGCTTTCATTGATCATTATGTGTAAAGCGCAACCATGGCCATGTTGTTTCCATGTAGAGCCAGAGGAAAAATGAGGGAAAGCAAAAAATGCAGCTGTTAATGTTTGAATGAAAAGTTTTATTTCGAACATGTAGAAAAATGTTCAGAATGGGATGATAAATTGAGTCAAATCAAGACCACCAAACTAAAGTGAATCGATGACAGTTTAGCCATTCCATGTGTCCTCGTATATCAAATGTTCAGTGTGTTCTTATATTTATCAATTCAAATATCAAAGAGAAAATATACCAATGGACCTTAACAAATCCAAATTTGTCACACGGATGGCTTGAACTCCTCTGAATGTTTGAGCTGCTGTTACTCACTTATACAAATATAAATACTGTACATATTACTCTATATATCTGGCCGACGACCTCAGCGTCTGCATGAAACATTGAGGGATGATGGGAATGTTTCACAGTGCATAGGAAGAAGATGTATGAGTGCAGCTGCTGCGGCCCTAAATCACAAAATCCTGTATATCAGTAGGGAATGCACAAATCTGATGGCGAAAAATCATCAGAGGAGGTGTTGAATCAGTGAGTTACATCCACAGCAGAGAGTGAGAGAGAGATTGTGAAAGAAGTTGTCTTAGCACAGCTGTTGCTGCTAGTTTTGCTGCTGTGGCCGTACAAGCCAGTTGTGTCTATGGACAGTTTGTAGTTTAATATAAGTGCAGTCTGCCATAGATTTGACCTCTGATCAAAATGCAGTTAGTCCTACTTTACATAAAAACACATTCATGTACGTGCAAACAGATTTATGAATGTAGATCTACTAACAGATTCCACCCCCCCCCCCCCCCAGTTTCAGTCTGTTATTTGAGATTTTCAAAAAACTTTGGATCATTTTGAGCTAATTGAAATAGATTGGGTGTTCCCAGCAGAGCATGTTTTTATCAGTAAATGATGAAAGATGTTCTTTATGAATAATTTATTCATCAATTATTTAATGAGCGTTTAACAAATATCTTTTGCATTCTTGACGAAATTTAACTATTAGCAAAGACCATAAAGTGCTGTTAAATTTTCACAGTTTTGCATTTCCCATCTGCGCATTTACTACAGTTTGTTAAATATAGTGATTAAACATTAGATTGAATATAGAATTTCTTTTTGAGGCGAGTTAGGAGCATGGGTGCATAAATTTAGCTCTGTCCGGTGTCATAATGTTGATATTGCCATCCATATTGCCAAACTCTTATAGACATTCTTTGGAACTTAATGCTTTAATGCCATGCATTATAACTATGACAAAAATAATGAAATTAATAATTTTAATAGATTGACAGCCCTAGACCACAAAGGCATCAGAAATGATTGACTAAAAGAGTAATACAATTATGTACCGGCTGCAATGGCACATATCAGACATAATTAATCATTCAAACAGTCAGTCTGAGTTTGCTTGTTGATGAAGAACCATTCAAAAGTACTGCCAAATTAATATATATATATATATATATTGACACAAAGAATGTAATTTAGGCATCATTGTTGAATATTAAGGATTTAGCATTCACAAGGTGTTTGAGCTAGCTCAATCTGGTATAGCATTATATTTGTAAAGAAAAGAACAGATAAGCTATGTAGAAAATATATTAATAGTCCTCCTCTGCAGTCCATTTTCATCTTTTTTTTTTGTAACAGAAATTAAATGGGGATTATGCCATCAGTGCTCTCCTTTTTTGAGGTGCTCATAATTTTTGTGGGCAATATCACATTAGTGGATAATAGCAGTGTATATAACGACTGGTTCGTAGTTCAACACAATACCAATGAAATGTGCTATTTTGTAGTAAGTGTAATAACAGGCATCGTTAAGTCTTATATTTGTGTGTAAACCAGTGTAAAACCATGGTGTGGTAGTTAATGGCAGTCAGTATGACCCCATAAAACACAAGATGTTTTAATATCTGCAAAGTAGCCATCTAAGAAACGTCAAAATGGCTTTGAAGCATTTTAGCCACCCTCACAATCTCTCTGAGCTCTTCAAAAATACATCTAAATGGCATCTTTCTCATTACATTAGCGATGTAGCATGGAAACAACAACAACAGAAACTGTTGGTGATAACTTTTAGCAAGGCTACTTATCAAACCAGGATATCCCAACATGGTTGTCACAGCCCATGATAAGAGGTTATTTCTATGGCATTAATGTCTGAAGATAAATATTATGTTTTGCAGAAGTGAAGAGTTTAGGGTAGGAAGGGCCTAGTGTATATTTATGTGTTGTGGTTTTGTTCAACTGTATCTCTGTCAATTAATATGTTTGACCACAGTTTCTGCACTTGTCTTTGTACCGTTCTTTTGTAGATGAAATAGAAAGAAAAAGAAAAGAAAAAAGTTTACCATAAAAAAGCTGCTATGGTCAGACAGGTTATCATAATTGTTAAATTAAATAGTTGTTTAGTGTATGACATCATTGAATAGTACTTTATACTGTGTATTGTTATTTTCTTCTCTTTTCACTACCTTTGGTTGAGACATTTAGAATAAAAGAGAGATGTGTGTAGTCCAAGTAAAAATGCAAGACGTTAAAAACACAGCTACCATCAAAGCATATCCAAAGGAAAAAAAAAAAAAACCTATCAGAGACATGGCAACAATAAACATGTGAGGACAGAGCAGGTCGTCACAGTCACTGATGACTTATTTATTCATGTACACAAGTAGCTCTGTTGTCATTTCTTTCCATGTAAAGATCATGTCATATTTAGTCTCTATTGACGTCTTTGTTCCTAGTATTAAACTGTATGTTATTATTGCATAGTAAATGCTAAAATACTGCTGCTTTTATTCAATTATCACTTGGAAAGAGTGCCTAGAACAAATACCAATATATGTGCAATCTTATAAACCAGTATCATGACCGGTTTCAGACATCACTGAAAATGGACCATTACTGAGCTTTACACAAAGTTTTATCTTGGGGTTTTGTACACAAACAGTGATCACCTTTACTGTCTTTTTTTCTGGAAATGTTAAGAAAAGTTCAGTGCATTCTAATGTTACCTTTTTTTCTGAAGCCATGAAAAACAAGATAAAATCAAATGAAGTTTGGTGAAACAGTCTACTGTAAGCATAACAGGATTCTTTTTTTTTTTTTCTTTTTTGCTGTACCTCATGCCTGTAATGTTTGCTGCTTACTTATTCAGTATTTTAGTAATTTAAATCTCTTAGCATATATAACATATACAATGTTGTAAATAATATAATTATTTATTAAGAATGTTGTCTTTTTTTATTTATATTTACACAGTTCATCTAAGTTATTTTTGTATGTCTCTAGTGTTACTTGGTGTGATCAAAAGTCTTTTTTCCCCTTACTGTTTATTTCTCTGTCAGTTCCTCTGTTCCGATTAGAAAGCAACAGTCTGGTGTAAGAAATGACCTGTTTTCCCAGCCACTCAATTTGTATGAGTAATAAATAAAAGTCTCTAATGCACAAGGAAAATGTAGAAATGTCACCTTTGGAAAATCATACAGAGTGTTCCTTTGCCATATTGACTTCCACCCACGTTTTAGGTTCCATATGTTTGTGTATTTTAGGGAAATTGGTCAGAGTTCCGTTTCCAATTGCTGTGTAGATACATTGAACCGGTCTGAAGCCGCGGGGCTCGTGTGGTTTTGTGTAAATAGTAGAATAGGTGAGAGAAACTGAAAGACTGCTTGTGGTGGCTCAGCTGCTGATGTTCGTCCATGTATAGATTCCTTCAATAATCCTATGTGTGTCCCTACATGTTCATCGTCGCCACAGAAAGAGGCACGTCCTCATGTCCATAAAAACAAAAAAAAAGTTGTACCTCAGCCTCAGCAAATTAAGGTCCTATTTTCTGACATTTCAGAGTTCCCTAGTGTTCCATTTCCTTGAAGAATAAGCTGTTTTCAGTGTATATTGCATTTTATTATTTGTAGAGCAAAATCTCCCAAGGTCACTTTGCATCCTGAGATTAGCGGCTTCGACTTCTGCAGTAATTTCACTTTTCGTTTTATAGCTTCTGTATTTCCACACAGCTGTGTAGGTTTTGTACAGAGCTCTCTGTAACATGACTGAACATTTGTGATGCCAATATTCCTCTAGTTCAGCAAGCATGTTTTTCTCAAATCTCATACCCAGTTGCATGATCAAAACTGTGTTCACAAAGTCAGAGGTGTAATAATTTGATCGTCTGCTACTTTCATCAGAGTAGTATATATATATATATTTTTTTTTTCTGAGAATATATTTTTTTTTTCAATGCCCTGCTACATATTGTGTCATTGTTGGGTCTCCATATTTGCTAATAATTCTGCGACTGCACTGACATAAAAATCAACACCAGACATGATGACAAACCTGTTGTTTTTTCCTGGTGTATCTCAAATACAAACCTAAAAGGCTTGACCTCTTACACTGATGGTCTCCATATGCTTAATGCACTGTTTTGGGCACTTACCACAATCTTCTTTTAATAACCAATTGATTTGTACCATTTTTCATGATTATCTCGGATGTGAGCAGTTTGCCACTGTTGTTTTTTTGTTTGTTTGTTTGTTTGTTTGTTTTTTTATATATAATATTGTGATATTATTTGTCACAGAGCAGACTAGTGTACTGTATATTTTCATGAAATCCTCAAGCATTATTAATACTAAGTACATCAATGTTATTTTTCCTGATATGTATTATTTAGAAAATAAACACTGGTTAATGAAATCCAATTGTACGCTTGTGTTTAATTGCTTTATAAACCCTGAATCAGGTACATGTCAATAATATTGCTTTACCTGTAAGTATATTTCTAAAATAATTTTGGAAAGAATTAGAGACCAGGAAACCGTGCAAGTTAATATAGAGAAGAAAAAAAGGAACTTTGTATTACAGAGTCAATTCAAGTCATCTTCATTTATACAGTCCTTTCAACAATATAGATAGTTTCAAAGCTGCTTTACAGTGATAATAGGAAATTAAAGTTACATAGATTGTTTTGGCTTTACAGCAGCTCTAGAATAGAGTTATTGTCCACCAAAGTTAGTTTTAATTGATTCACTTCCGTCGCAAAGGTCATTAGTAATTAACCAACACTATCTCACGACCAATTCGTACGAATTCGACGCATGATTAAAAAGTGGCTAATTCGTATGACCTCACTCGTACTAATTCGTACGATTTGTCTAAACCCACGTGATGGTTAGGTTTAGGGGCGGGGTAAGGGGTAGGTCATTCGTACGAATTCATACGAATTGGCCAATTCGTAAAATATGTACGATTTAGCAAAATCGTATTAATTCGTACGAGTGAGGTCGTATGAATTGTTACGAATTAGCCACTTTTTAATCATTCGTCGAATTCGTACGACTTGGTCGTGAGATCGGGTTGAATTAACTTAACTAACGCGGCACTGTTCTAACAGAAAACCCTTAATGCGATCCGGCCACTCATTCGCACAACAGTGGCTGGAGAACGCAAACCGTGAATTAGGTTCCAAGGTGCAAACACTAAAATATTTTGAAAAACACTATCTCCGCGTAAACCTAAAAAAAGTGATTTTGTGTAGCCTAAACGCTGATGGCGCGCACATGAATATTAAAGGGATACTCCACTTTTTTTGGAAATACACTCATTTTACAACTCCCCCAGAGTTAAACTGTTGAGTTTTACCTTTTTTTGAATCCATTCATCTGATCTCCGGTTCTGGCGGTACCACTTTTAGCATAGCTTAGCATCCATCATTGAAGTGCACAAGACCATTAGCATTTCTCCCAAAAAAATTACCAAAGTGTTTCGATATTTTTCCTATTTAAAACTTGACTCTTCTATAGTTACATCGTGCACTAAGACAGACGGAAAATGTAAAGTTGCGATTTTCTAGGCTGATATGCAGGGAACCATAGGCTACTCTCATTCCTGCGTAATAATCAACACACTTTACTGCCGTACCATGAGTGCAGCAGGCGCGATGACTACACAAACTTAGTCCCCGTCACGTTGGAAGCTGGGCACTATTTTCAGGCACTGCGTCATAACATTACGCCTGCTGCACTCATGGTACGGCAGTGAAGTTTCCTGATTATTACGCAGGAATGAGAGTATAGTTCCTAGTCATATCAGCCTAGAAAATCGCAACTTAGATTTTCTTCAAAATAAAATTGAACTCATCTTAAGACAAAACTGATACCTAAATGAGACATATAAGAGAATCAGCACTTAGTATCCTGAGCTTAGTCAGAGTCATAGGCTTGTGGGCAGCATATCGACATCAAGACACAACTGACAGCACAAGTTAGAGTCCCAGCTAAAGGTACTGTCCTGCTTCTGTTCCCTTATTGCCTTTACCATTGTTTCCTGTCTCTCCTCCTACAGGCCTGTCCGTTAAAGCCGAAAAAATAATAATAAAAAGAGCAACCTTTGCAAGGCAATAAAGAGATCTTTAATGTTTCTCTTAGCACATTCTCATTTTGGACTCCTTCCCCTCAGAACTTTCTCACGTCTCATTTGTGCCCAATTTTATTTCTCCAAAGACCTTTAGAAGAAATAACTGAGACACCATTGGTACTAAAATGAGAGATATTTGAGAATCACAACTAAGTCTCCAAAACTTAGAAATATAATGGAGTCTCAAGTCAAGTCAAATATATATTTTTATAGCGCTTTTCACAATACAGATTGCATCAAAGCAGCTTCACAGTATCAATCAAACATAATAACAATGTTCATTTCTCAGTGTTTCAG